TTGTAGCTATAAACCAAAGGCCAGTGTAATAATATGTGTGCGAAAAAGGAACTAAACTACTATTCAAGTAATCGTAGTAGTTGGCAATTGTCAATTTTCATCTATTTAGCAGGCATTAAGTTTAAAGGAAAAGGGATTGATATTAAAGTCTTGGAATTAAAATTCTTTCACATAATTTCACAGTTGCGCTAACAATTTGTTAAATATTTTCTCTCAAATTTGTTAACCAAATTCTTTACAAATTTATTATTTAATTTTTTATTAAAAATTTTTATTATAAACACTATAACTTACTCAAGTAATAATTAATGTGACTTTTTCGACTGGATAAACGTTAGTGATTAGGAAAAAATGGAAAGGGGAGACCACGATGTTTTAAACTGTTGCTCCCGCTTTAGAATTCACTGGAGAGGACTGCGCAGAAACCGAATTCAGGTTGTAATTTGGACTAAGTAAAACACAAAGTATATTTGGGTTACCGGTAAAATGTTTTGTAAGGAAAAATTTATTTATTTATTTATATTTTTGAAAAAAAAAAAAAAAATATATATATATATATATATACATATAGTATAATAATTAATTGTTGGATTTGTTGACTTAGATTTTTCAAAATTGTTCTCTTATTTTAAAATTAAGAGCAAAAAAAAGTTTGGAAATATTAATAATTGTTTCTTTTTTACATGTTTTATCATAATCCACATCAAATTTAGAATTAAAATTCCTCATCGTAAATTTGTCTCTTTAAATGATTTTTTTTTTCTTTTTTACATATTGTGTTATTATTATATAGACATTTGGGATGATATCAGTGGCAACTGCTTTTATATCACAGATCACTGTTTGGGTCTTTTTATATAAGCAGTTAATTTTAAATGTTTATTAAAGTTAAAATTAAAAAAATAGTCAGAAAAAGTAATGAAGCAAAGTAAAAAATTAAAAAAATTCTTACATATTTTTATAAATGTTTTTTTTTTTTAAATGCTTTTTGCTTTTGTTTTTCTTAGGGGAGATAATTAAGAACACAACGAGTAAAAAGTTGTAATCGCCTTAAGGCGTATCGTCCATATCCACCATCGGCGTTCTTTGTTCGAGACCGGGATTTAATTGCAATATTTGGAGAAGAGACAGACCAGAGGAGAAGCTTACATCAAATTAAACTCAAAATCTCACAACGATAAAGAGTTTCTATGCTTTATGGAACCTTCCGCAATATATCTCTGGACGCTACCCACGAACTGACAAAAACAGGAGGTTAAAGCAACCATCGATGGTGGGTATGAAAAAAGTATATATCTATTGTATTGCACGTAAATTTATCTGACAGTTAAACATTAAATAATAATCTTTAGAAGTAAACGTTCATTGTGCCCTACACCACTGATTTGTGCGGATGTATGGAACCTTTAAAAAGATTTGAGATGAGCCCACCCCGTTTATTTTACCGATCGCTTTAAATAAAGTTTCTGAATCGATTTAAACTTGTCCGTTCGTCTATCTGTCTGCCTTGTTTCCTTATGTTCAACCTACAGGATATTTTGATGAAATTTCGTATACTCTGAAGTGTGTTGTACCAATGGTTCGAAACGGACTACTTTTTCGGAAACCTTCCAAATAAAGCTTTATTTTCAAATGTCCTTGCATGGATATAGCTTTAGGGTGGTGTAGAGTATTTAATGGTGGCCTGTGGCCTACTTATAGTGTTTTTAATTATTTTACACGTTATTTACATAACAACATGAATATAGACTAAAGTTAAGTAAAAATGTCTCAAATGTTTCTGTTTTAAGCGTATTTCTCAGATAATTTTTTGGAGATTTTTATTGTATCAAGCACTCATGGATTTTCATATTATTAATGTTCAGAAAAATACTTGAAGGGTAACCTTGTGCGTTAGGGGCCAACAAAAAGCTATTCCAGCCACATATATAATATACATTAATTTTCTCTATTCTCTCGCTTTTGTTGTTTGTCACGATTTTCTTACGTCGGTCGCGTCTATTTCCATGAAAAAATCGGTAATAGAAAAACAAAAAAGTACACAAAAAAGTACAACACTATTTCTACCTTGGCAAGTGAATGCAATAAATTACAAGTGTTTTTCCAAAAGCATTGATGAGCATTGATCCATAATAGTAATACGATCTAAAAATTTATTATATGGACCACAGATATCTAATTAAGAGATTCCATCCAATATAAAAATTTCCAAGCCTTTATATTTTGTTTTTTAATCAGTCAATCGGGGGATGTCTTCTTTAGGTGTATAAGCGGTGTGATGGTCAGGGAAAAAGAAGTAGAGAAAGAGGCCTTTGCGGATTAAGCATTCATTGTAACTGCGTCTACACGGCAATTTCATTAAAAGTATTATCTACGGCTGTCTGAGAATTAAATCGGTATATATCGTCTTGACAGTCACGGTTATACGGTACCAAATAAAACGAATTCCTAGTGCTTTATGATGGAAATAGAAGGTCAGAACTTTCTGGTATTTTATCGATAAAAATAAACGAAGACTTATACTAGGCGGGGTGGGGTAGAGTACTTAAAGGTCGGCCTTGCCTATTTATAGCGTTTCTACTTGTTTTTTTTTTGTATATTGGAATGACTATCATATGTTGATCTAAGCTGGACATAATCAATGGCAATAGACATAAGGATCAGAAGTAGATTTTTTAATTGTTTCTTGACTAATATTTTATTATTATATAAATTCAGTTATATACTGTGTCTTATATTACTGTAAACATGAAACCGGAAATTGCCACCACAATATCCCAACACAATATTTGGAGAACATACATGTCTCAAATTGTGTCGGTTTTTGTGCCTTAGGCGTTTAGCAACAATGGGCAGATATAACCTTCGGAATTTAACGGTTTCACCTACCAAGCGATAACTTGTGTCCCTCCACTTTGCAAGGCGACCCTGTGGTTTGGTCAAAATTCTTCCTTCTGAACAGGCCGTGACCTAAGAGATCTAAAGGCTTAGTTCTCCCGTGATATTCGGTTTAAAATAACCACTTGGTGCTCATAGTTCGGACTACAATGCTTTTGGGCGTAGTTACGCGACTTTGTCGTAGACATTCTTGTATTCGGATTATCCATACATTCTGGAGTGCCATTCAAATTTTTCGCTCGTGGGTTTGGAGAGGTATTGACCCAGCAGCGGCAGGCACTACCTGGGAATTATCCTCAACCTCCGTAGTAGCTGAATGCCTATCATAGAAGTCTGCAAAAATGGCGGCTTCCAATGACTTCTCGATGGTGGGCTGCAGTCGCCGGGCGGCAACCATAAGCAAATTGGAAAAATGTATAGCTAGCGAGAAGCCATAGTTCGAATGAAATATCATTTTCATACAATAAACACCTATTTTCTACAAAGAAAAATCCCGGTTTCCTATGTACATATCTGGTGTGTATTATTATTAATTATTATTGCCCTTTGTACCCACCACTGAAGGATGGAGATATATTCATCTTCTTTTTTTCATAATTTATATAACTCTCGGAAGGAAGCTTCAGAGACCTTATCAAGTGGAAAGAAATTTCGATTTGATTAAGCCATGCCTGTCTGTCTTTGGGTCTGTGTGATGTTCGTTGTTGGCGCTCACCTGGCCGTAAAAATGAAGACATCGACTTCAAATTTAGTAGAAACATGGTACTGAAAATGGGTCAAATTGGTTGGACCAAAAATCCGCCCGATGCAATATAAGCATAGTGTTGGATATGCGAGATTCCGTCCTTGCCGAATATAACTTTCTTACTTGTTTATTATTAGGTTCATTTTAGGATCATTTGTTCAAAGGCAAGAGGTCATTATGTTCTAATCCAGCTGTTGACTGTTTTCAATATAGCCAAAGTAAATAAAGATTATTTATGAGGTCTGCGATGTTGCCAAAAGTTAAAATATCTCTTACATCTTTTTTTTTTATTGCGGCCTAAAACATAACCTAAAACACACATTCGAAAGGAAAAACGTTGAGAAATTTATAAATCACTTTGCTCAGATTGTCTATATATTCTATAAATTTCCATTTTACTCACAAAAATGAACCGTTATTGGACGTAGTATGTTTGCCTCACGTTCACTGTATGCAATGTCAAATGGGAACACTCGGCTTTCACGATACATCGCGGACGTCTGTCCCTCTTTTGTTTTTGTGTTCAACCTACAGGCCGCAATTATTCAGATATATCATTGAAATTTAATATTGTAGCGATTTCGACCAGAGGACCAAGGCTTTTGAAACTGGTTAGGATTGGACCACTGCCCATATAATGCTTTATTTTGGGTAACTTTGGGGTGGTGTAGAGTATTTAATAGGGGACCACGGCCCATCACAGTGCTTTTACTTGTTAAACCCTACATGGCTTGTGGTACAGGGGTATACTAAGGTTTTGTGGATATTATACAACACACAGAAGGAATTGAGACAAATCCATCTTTTGTTATACCGATAGATTCCGAATTACTTGTTAAATCGACTTAAAATTTTTTGTCCATCTGTCCGCATTGTGTCCTTACGTTTAATCTAAAGGTCGCAATTTTTTCGATGTTTTGCTGGGATTTGTCATTTTCTGAATCGATCTATGCCTGTCCGTCTGTCTGTCCGTTGTGCGTCCTTTTGTTTAGCATAAAAGGTTTTGCAAGATATTGACATGCTTTGCCTCGAGGAGCTAGTATTGGACCATTTTTCGACCGTTTCCAATAGAAAAGCTTATTTTGAGAAGTTGTTCTATATGGTGATTATTTTAAACGAAGTGATGCAGGGTATTTAATGATGGGCCGTGGTCAACTATAGTGTTTTTACTTTTTATTATTCAGTAGAAGAGCTGTGTTGAAATTATTAATGATTTTTGTTTTGTCTTTCGAGAGCTTTAAATATTATTAAGGGTTTTTTTTTTATATATACATATTTTTATAAGATTTTAAATGCCAGTCTAATTGAGAAATGTTTTTAATGGTCTTTTACCGTTTTTTTTGTAACATTTTTTTCATTTTACATTTTTTTCTTTTAATATATATATATATGTATACATATATATATATAAACTACTACTATTACTACAAAAGACTTAATTAAGAATTATGGGGAAGAAAAAATTATGTTTTCATTGCTTTTTTTTTTTTTTGTTTTGCTTTAGAATATTTTGGATTTGTTTTTGAGGTTTTTATAAGCGTTTCGGCAAAAATCTCTTGTGATTATTTACTCAGTTACATCTTGGATTAATTTATAAAAGAATTCATTGTTAAATGCATAAAATATTGGGAGAAAAATTTTAAATCTAACAAAAAAAAAAAAAAAAACAGACATTAAAAGGAGAAAACTACATTCACTTATTTAACTTAAGAGTGTTCTCTTTTGTTTTAAGGAAACTCGCGTTAAATTTCCGCTTCTCTTTAAATTGTTGCAAAAGTGACAGGGGTTTTTAACGCATAGGGCATATAATTAACATCGATTTTTCTTTTTGGTTTTGTTTAAAAGTATTAATTACTTTAAAAATTAATGATTAATTTTTAATGATTTTCGAAAAGAAATTTGTGATTGTTTTTAGCTTATCAGTTTCTTTTATGTGCAATTTTCACTCAATTTTCATTCATATCTTTAATCGCTTGCAATATTCGCTTAACATGACCGACTTTAATAACACCCAAATCTTTTAGATCTCTACGCCCTAAAGTTAATAATTCCTTACCGCGTATATCATTTTTAAGGAAACTATCAACATATTCCGATAGTTGCATTGTTTCCAACCACGTTACAACTTCATTGACACTCCAATTGCTAACGGCTTCGCGAGTGTTTGTCAAACCAGGTTTAAGTTGCTGTTGACCGCCAACCATCGATCCCGAACGTAAACGTGTCCAGAAAGCTTTTGATTTACGACGTCCATCGCCCTGGAAGGAAATTAACATTGATTACTTACTCTTTAATTAATACTTTCTCCTCATCCTCCTATTGCTACCTCCTCATTGGGTGCCAAGACATTGAAATATGCCCTCAATTTGCCATCAACGCACTTTTGAACTGAACATTTTTTCAATTCCATTTCCATATTAGCTAAGGCAGCACTTAATTTAGTTTCCAAGTCTTCACGTAATATTAAGCTGTGACCGCGATCGCGTAATAAATGGCAAGCATCATCGTATAGCTGACGCGATGAATCAATAACTTCGACTAATTTAGTGCGCAACGAGGGACCCTCCAAGAGTTTACCATGTGGATGTATACTCTCAAGAGCGTCTTGAGCTCGACAAGCAACTGCATACAAATCATGTCTCAAATTGGGGTGAGAGATTATCAAAAATTTCACCCATTTTACAAGCGAACTAACGGCTTCAATGAAATTGAGTAATACGTAGCATTCTCTTTCTGAAATTACCTCTTCAGTCGATACGGCATGCTCGGAGGCATTCGACGATTGTTCTCGTTGTATGGATATGCTATGTTGACGTTGTTTCTCTTGCCAACTCTTAAGAGAAACTTCCAAATGTCGATTACGACATAGCATTTGTACACGATTCTTATGCAAAATCCGTATCATACCAGGTGGTTGAAGCCAAGCCTCACCGTCAACTTGTATGGGAATCTCTTCATCACCCAAGATATTGATTTGTACACTTTGGCACTGAGCTATACGATGATGCTGTAAATTAATCAAACGTGAAGCGGCCATTTGCACCGAACCAAAAACGGCCACCACTTCTAAAATGCGATCATCAAAACTGGGCGTTAAAAAGATGTCATCTTTTTTTGTATTCCCCCAAAAATTGGTTCCACCCATAAAGCTAGACAAACGAACGAGAATTCAGTATAAATTTAATTTAAATTTAATTAAAATTTTTTTTTTTCATTTTCTTATCATTGCTTTTGTACCTGGGTATGTTAAGTATAACTATGCCCTGAAGCGAAGGTAAAGGTATACGTTGACCGTCACATTCCAACTGAACTCGTTGTTCGAGATTTTTACAAGTCTTTTGTAGTAATTGTTTGGAACCCAATACCCCGTACCACATGTAATTCTTTGCTCTAGATCGACACTTTTCAGGATGCTCTTCACGTTTGTTATGGAAATCTAAAGAGATTTTTGCATCGATACCAATACCAAAATAATTATTCATTACGCATTTCTCATGATAACCGGCCAATAAAGTTTCGTCTGGATCCATCAGAGGACTAACAGCCGCACACAGTGTATCAGCATTGGCTAATAAACACTTCGAAATGAATCCTGAACCCCCGGTAAGATCTAAAATGTAAATATTGATCAAAAAAAAAAAAAAGGAGAAGACGAGGAAGTATCCTTCTCTTAACTTACTGGGCCAGTTGGGTAACTTCACCAAAGGATTAATAATGGGTAATTTTTTATTCTCTTCAGTAGGTGTCTTCTCTTTGTCTTTTTTATCTTTATCTTTGTCATCACCCGTTTTATCCGTACCCAAACCGAAATGATCAAAATTGAAAAGAGTCGACCCAAGTAAACTGGCTCTAGATCCCTTGAAATTTTGCATATTTGGCGGTAGAGCTTCGTTGGGCTAAAATTAAGTATAGATAAAAATATCGAAACTATAAACATTCACTTCAAGCACAAATTTACTTACAATCAAAACTTTTCTAACTACTTTGAAATGTGAGTTATATTATATATAATATAGAGAGAGTGATAAAGTGAATCAGAGACTAAAGACACAGAGTAAAAAGTCAACAGAGTAGTAAGCAATGTACATATACACATACGCAACCAACTCTCTTTTTACACGATGTTTTTACAGAATTTTTTACGAATTTTGATAATATCTTACAGAAACAGCAGGGAACTACCATCGGTCCAAACATGTGTTAGTGACCACTTGGTCGTTAATAGTAAACGAAATTCTTCATTTAAACCAAACCCAACAGTTGAGCAAAACATATCTGACATGCATATTGATAATAGCATTTCTGGTCCAATGAACACTTGTTATGAGGCAGCTATGAATTACAGTTAAAATTGATTTTTATTCCTAATATTAATTTAAATTATTTTTAATGTTAAATTTATGGATTTGATTTCCATTGTAAATTAATTTTAATTTTTGTAATGAAATTGTTTTTCATTATATATTATATATATTTCATTATATTTTTTTACACGGTTAGTTAAAAAAATAGTTATAGTTTCTGCATCTTACACGATTTTTTCAAATTATGCAACATATCCGCAAAGTACCCCCAAAATGTTTTTTTATACGATCTTTTTGCAACGTCTTCTAAGGAACATATTTGTCGTGTAAAAAGAGAATTCGGTGTACATACATGTATTAAGGGTTTAAGTCTACTCAATATTTTTCACTTCGCGTTTTTATTGAATGATAGATAAGCTTTGCTTGGTAAGCAAAAATATTATAGAAATGAAAAAGAGACTACAAAAAGAAAGAACATATAGAAAATAAAGGCTAAAGCATATAAAAAGTATTTCAAGGATAGGTTGTCGGCTTTAACTACGAAAAGTTTAGTAAGGTTAGGATTTTCTGGTTGATGTCCATGTTTTGTTTGATTGTGTGATCTTAGCTTACCAACGGTATTAGAGGTCTTATTAAAGCCAATGTGGCTACTTTTATATCTGGTTCGGCCACCATAAACAATTTTAAACTCAATAATCCGCTTGTACGCTTGCCCGACAACAAACCCTTTGTCTTTCTCTTCTTCTACAAACAGATGATGAATCCGAGAGTGTTTAAAATATATAAAACATATCACACCATAATAATAATAAAAAAAAAAAAAAAAAAAAAAAATGGTGCGTGCTATCAACTTATTTATATATTAAATGCTTCTTCCGGTATCTAGTATTTATTCATTTTGTTTCTCTTTAGCCTAAAGATCTTTTTGTAAAAGACCTCTCAGCATAAGAGAAATAAAATTAAGAGCATATCATTGTAAAGCTTAAGGAAAATACGGGAGAGTAATTTTCGCCACCCTGTGTATGTTTATATGTGTATGTGTGCGTGCGTCTTGTAGAGCTCTTAGCAAATTCTTAGTTGCATTGGCTAGGCAAGTGTTTGCCGCCGCACAAGTGCATTGTAATGTAGATTATAATGTTTGCTTTTAAAGAGGAAACATTATTGTAAAGTTCATTTTTCTTTTCTTTTGTTTTTTTTTTTTGAAATTAAAAAAGCAATTAACGCACACTTATAAACGATATTCTTTTGAAAATACATACCAATCATACGTAAGCTTAGCAATTATTTAAAATTAAAAATTTTCAAAATTGATGTAAGTTTAAATCCTATTGTTATCGTTCCCTTTTGGCATTGCTTAAGGTGAACGCGGGATACAAGAAGAAATGTCTATAGGGCCTGTTCTTACCTTAAATAAACTGCCGCAGCTTATTCTACGACTAGCGGCTGGTGAAGAACTTAAAAATCTTGAATGCTCTCGATCTAGACTTAAGTAATTGGGATTATAGCCGGAATAACGACGATCCTTGTCCTTATCGTATTCTCGCGCTGTTACAGTTGGCGTGTGACTGGAGTGCCTGCGTATTTCTCCGCTTGTTAGACGAGCCATTAGTAAATTGCTGCTATAGTCTGTCTCTAGCGGACGTATGGCGTCGCCTCTAAGTGGTGTGGGTGGCCGAACAATAACACTAATCTGTGGATGGTTGGGATTTACATCATCAAACGATTCTTTTTTACACGAGTCATCAAAAGTAATGCGCTTTACATCTTGTCCGGGACCGTAACGTTTCGGGGAGACTCCTGAACTCTTTGTAGACGAATTCTTCAAACAGGAATTAGACGTATTGATCACGGCTATCTCAGGTATTTCCACCTTTACAGCTGTTATTGTTGATTGTTCATCTTCCGATTGTTGGCCGCTGGTCGTAGTTGTTGTTGTTGATGTGACGGTTGTACTTGTACTGGGGGTTGTAGTAGAGGTATTTGGGTTATCCATTACTAATTGTGATGGTTCTTTGGTGGAGGTGGTGCTGGTTGTAGTTGATTTAATTTGTTTCAAAGAAGTGCGTTTTTTAGGGCGCTTTTGGGAGGTATTATCAAGGATTTTGCAAAAAAAGTTATCACAAAATATAAACAAAAAAAAAAAAAAAAAAAAAGAAAAAAAGAAAAACAAAACCAAAAAGCGATATAATTACAGGTCATATAGTTAACTATTAAACAATAAAGCGACTTTGTTTTCATCTAAGTTTCTAAAAAAAAAAAAAACTTCATTAAATAAACTTACTTTAAAGCTTTGTCGGGCTATGTCATTGCCTTCGACGAATTGAGCTAAAGAGCAATATCGTGTGGGTTCACGAATTTTCTGATCATCACAGCGATTGTCTATTTCGAAAACAATGTTTTCAAATCCGAATTGTTGCGGATTATCATCACTATTTGTGCGATCTATATGCACCGTTCGACGAGGCGGTGAAGAATTACGTCTTTTGGGCTGCGCTACCAGGTTAACTGACAGTTTTTTGTGTCTCGCCGGCTTCGGGGTTAACGGACCCGCTATTGTATCCGAGCATAAGGTAACCGTATCATCAGTGATTATACTATCTTGTAACGCCGATGTAATATCATGACCTAACACGGAACTAATATCATCCATGAGACTTTCACCGGGCATTGCTTCAGTTTCATCACTGGTTTCAGGCGAATCGATATGCGTAAAAGCGGTCGATTCCAGTTTCTAATTAAACCCGTAATAAAACAAACATTTTATTTTTTATCACAAAACAAACTGTGCTGGAAGATGGAATTCAAGGATATTTACCTTACTCACCTGCAATAGGTCGCCCAAAGGCATTTGCTGTTGTAAGTGATTTTCGGAAGCATCGAAAATTTCCGAAGCTACGCTACATTCTTCATTACTGATAGCCGACAAGATGTCACTGGCTTCGTCAGCTAATTCATCAGAATGAGAGCGGTCCTAGTGTTTAAATGAGATAATAAAAAAGAAAAAGAAATTAAACAAAAAATATTTGAATTTTTCTATCGAGCAGGAACATACGGAATTGCCATCGGTATCAATTATAGTGATGTTCTCGCTTGTATACACATTGTTAGCTATGGGGTTTGCAGCAACGTTTGATACTTCCAGTTGTATCGAACATGCATCATCTTTGTCAGCTTTAAAATCATTTTCCTCATAGTCCTCCAAACCATTATCCATCATCTCTTTCGTAGTAACTGAGGTTTGCTTTTCATCTTGTATGTGACGTGTCATGTAATAATTTCTTTCAAAGACTTCTATTGGTCGAAAATCGGATAGGGGATCCCAAAGACGTGGTTCATTGGTAACTATTGGAACGGTGAGGAAATTCCTCTCGTTTGGCGTAGTTACCATTTCATCGGTGGGTGATAAATGATAACCGCCCTTATCGAAATTCATTCCTCCCGTTGAAGCTAATCTTTTCGTTTGATGATTAGTGTCACCGTTGGCATTCTCTTCCAACTCTTGTATGGCCTCAGGTATCCCAGAACTACGTCGACTATCAGCAAATTGTCTGGGCACCGGTAGACTTATAGTATTAAAGAAATCATCCAACGACTCTCGTCTGGCATCGGGTAGCGGAGATATACAAGTGAGACGTGAGGTTTCCATAGTTGGCGAAATTATATTAATTGGTGGTATGTTAGGTAACGGTGAGGTACAAGGAGTGGAATCACTTGAAGTTGCTGTGGGAATTTTCAAAGCTTCAAATGGAGTAACTGACAGACGACGTTGATAACGTTTGGGACGCCCCGGTTCCGAGTGCTCTACCACATTATAAATAGCACGTTTAACGCTGTTAGCGCGACTCTGCAAAGCTTCACGTTCATTGCAACGTAATGAACGGCTATTTCTACGCTCTTCGAAATTAAGAAGATCTTTCTCATCCTTTTCAATAGATATGTTCGGATTTCTACGGACAAATCGTAAGGTAAGTCTAAAATGTATGGTAAGAAATTCAAATGTAATTACGCACAACAATGACGTTTGTGAAGCTGATCTCGCCGGCGATGATGGAGCACTTTGCGCTATAATACTGCTAATAGTGGATATCAAATCATCGCCATTATGAACGCCACTTTCCTCTTCTTTTAATGCATCGAGTAACATGTTAAGCTTTTGTCTTAGGATGTCGCATTTTACCGTCAATTGTTCATCGCTTTTACGATGCTCACACATTCGTTCCAACAAATCGTCAATAGTTTCACAAAGAGTTTTGGTCGACAGCATTAAAATATGCAGATCATCAGTTTCTACAATAGAGCGTAAATTCTGATTGGCCGAGGTTACCATGCCGGTGAGTAAGGCTTCTTGTTCCGATGACAAAGACATTTTTGGCGTTTTAGAGGGCACAGAAACGGCTTTCTCAAATACCATAATACTCCAACGATCTAGCATTTTGGTACTGGCACTTTCGTAACGTTCAAGAATCTGCGGCAAATGAGCATCATCATCACAAGACGAGCCCCAGCCTAAAACGCGGGCCAAATCATTACCTGTCCCTAATGGTAAGACAGCCACTTGGCATTGTTTCTATTTTAAAGAATTCGAAAGAGACAGAAAGAAAAGAAGAGAGAGAGGAAGAAAGAAAGAAAATTTGCAAGAGGTAAATGGATATTTCCATTATAACAACTTACATGCATACTGTAGCGATCTATCTCACTTAAAACCCAACCCACTGACCCGTCGCCGGAACACACAAGTATACGGAACATTTCAAAATGTCGAAACAAGCGTAAACCTAAGCTTGGTCCGGTCGAAATTAAATCAAATACTTGAGCTGGATTTAGCAACTGTTTAAAGCGTCTGAGAAACTTAACTCCTTGATTATCACCCGACTTGGAATTTACAAATACTAGCAGAGGGGAAAAATTCCCTTTAGGGCTGGCCACATCCCATGAATCATCATTTCCAATTGAATGCACGCAAGTGGGCGGCACCACCGAGAGCTTCGCTGGACCTAGAGGGCAAGCTACAATCATTTGTGGTCGACAGGCCACATGCACCGTTGCGCGGCACCATAAACAACGCCAATCTTGTAAACGTAGTACCGAACCGCAAGTCTTTTTACACACGGCACACATAGCTGATACCGGAAGATTACCCTCCATCCATTGATGTGGCATTATAATACTACTGTCACCATCTTCGATGATATCTTTACCGACCGTAGCTAGAGTTGTCCACTTGCAGTTGGCAATTGCTTTGGCCGCACAACGTTTATGAACTTTACATTTGCAAACTTCACACGACAAGCCATGCGAAGTGACACCGGATAAAGCATCACGGCACACGTTACAATAAGTCGGTCGAGCATGAGAAGTAGCGTACCAGTGATGATGATTCGCAAAAATTTCTTGTTGCTCTATGAAAAAGCTATCGCCACGCGATCGCGGTGGTATAGCTGCACTCTTTAACGATCCTAGCCAATCTTCCATTTCGCGTCTAGTTTCGGCACACAATACCAAAGATCGTGTCGGAGTAATTACCTTTAAAAACACAATAATCAAACGAGAGAAACCAGAAGAATAGAAGAATTTGAGAATGACATCAAAAATAACAATAGTAAAAAAGCAAAAGCATGGTATAAAAGAGAGAGAGAGAGAGACAGAGATAGAGGGTGAGAGTGAGAGAGAGAGAGAGAGAGAGAGAGAGTGAGAGAGAGAGAAAGAGAAACACAAAGAAGCGAATTGAAGATGAAGATATTGTGATGGAAATGAATTTGGAAGTGGAAGCATATTAATGAGCGACCTGGACTACGATATATATAAAAAAAAGATGTTATTAATGCAATCTGAGAGAGAGAGAGACAGAGAGAGATAGGGAGAAACACACAAAAAAGAGAATATAGACAGGAAGGTGTCGAGAAAGAAGGGAATTACGAAGTAGAAGTCACTTCCACAGATCTGATCTGCGATATATATTAAGAAATTTAAGAATATTATTGACGAAAGCTGGAAGAGAGAGAGAGAGAGAGAGAGAGAGAGAGAGAGAGAGAGAGGGAGAGAGCGAGAGCAATGCAAAGAAGAGGAACTAAAAAGAAAAATATTGAGTGGCAACGAAATATAAGCGGAACTGAATCGAATTACTAAGAAAACATGGCCTACGGTAATATACATGGCAATAATAAAATGACTTGGCTTAAATTCTTATAAAGAAAATAAACAAGTAAAAGGGGAAGATGAAAATTGAAGCACAAATTATTTCAAATTATTTATTCCTAAGCTTGACACAAGCACACACATTATTCGCACACATTAAACGCACAAATTATTTCAAATTATTTATTACTAAACTTGAAATAATTTGTGCTTTAATTTTCGTCTTCCCCTTTTACTTATTTATTTTGTTTATAAAAATTTAAGCCAAGTCATGTTATTATTGCCATGTATATTACCGTTCAATTCCGCTTTAATTTCGTTGCTACTCAATATTTTTCTTTTTAATTCCGATTTTTTGCATTGCTATTCAACATTAACTTAGTTTTGATTTTTTCACTTTTATTTCTTCAATTGCAATTTTTCTTTAAACTCCTTTGATATAATTATAATGGTTTCTAGTTTTAATTAGTTTATTACACAATTTGCAAATACAAAACGAACGAATGTCGTTGGCAACCACAAATTATGCTCAGATCATACTAAAAGCTATTTCCGTAAACATGCAATCACACGAACAATAATTCAACGATTGCAGCGTTGCCTAATAACTAATTAATATTTAGTCATGTGTTAATGTAATGCCATTATGAGATATTATGAAAATTGAATCGACGAGTCGGAAAACTCGTTTCTCTCCCCGCCGACGCCTTGAACAGTCAGAAAGTTGCTTGTGTAACCTTCAACTTTTTTAGTGCAATGTATATTGTTATTGTTATTGTCACTGACTTAATATAATAAATCATTTTAAACTTTTCATATCCTTTTTCATTTCAAGTACAATTTTCGTAAGTTCATCTCTTAGAGTTATTTCAATGGAATTTTTTTTTCCTTTTTTTTTCGTCCTTCTTCAATTCGATTTCACTTAACTCAATTCAATACAAAAAACTTTTTGTCAACTGTCGATGCGTCAGCGTATATAGACAAGTGTAAATATCCTGATGCTAATGCATAAGGAAGGTAACGTGCGTCATGGTGTCTCTCTTTGTTAAGGTCAAAATTCGAAATGTTTCTTTCTTCAACACTTGACAAGTTTTTAAGATATATGATATGAGATCCTATTATGATAGGTCAAGCACACGTAACGCATGAGGAGAAGTAGATATAAATAATAAATATGGATAACAATTAAGAAAATTACCGATCGAAGCTTTCCTACTCCTTAACTTTATTTTAAAAACGAAAAAAAAAAAAAACGAGAAAAATCTCCGTACCACAGCAAGTAGACCGATGAACTGATAAACGATTTAGATTTGATACTAATTAATACTATGTAGACTTCATACGGTCCCTGAAACTTTTTTCTGGGTGCTGCAAGCGTTTCGATAAATGGTATTTCAATATTTTATACTGTTGCATAGGCGTGGCCGATTTTTTCAATATTTGTACAAGCGGCGCACGACTACTCATAGAATATCAATGTAAATTGAAATCAAAACTAGTTTCAAATTTTGTTGTACTACGGTCGAGCCCGCCAATCAATTTGGCTCAATTTCAATAACAACGTGGGTGCATAAACCTCCAATCTTTGTGCCCATTCTGGAGACGACTCCTGCGTTTTTGTCACTGGGAGAATGTTTATTATAGACAGACATACTGACGAACATGCTTAAATTGATTGTGGAATTCGGTGTTTATAAAGATTTTTTACTATAGACATTACACGGACAGTGGCGGTAAATAGGTTTTTAAATTTTATGTTAGATCAAAAATATATATATATATATATGTACTTAAAGGGATCTCTGCAGCTTCTTTCTGACTATTGAAAAGGTTTTGATAAAATAAATATATCTTTCGCATGCGACAAAATAGTAGATGTATACCTTGCAATGAGTGACTGATTTTACTTTAATACCCTTTCACAACTCAATCATAGCTTAAGGGTTAGTCGAATGATTTTTTATTTTCTCTTGATGATGATGAAAGCTTAATAAGTCTAAACTAAAGATAATTGTAAATAAAATTTCTAAACTTTCGCATCATTTTCTTATTCGATACCTTGCTATTGCATTGAAATTGATTAAATAAACAAATTATTAATTTTCTGTTAGGCTTGTAGCAAGAAATTTAATGAAATGATTTTGCACAAATGCTTACTTCTTGAGATTGCAGTTAAATGATCCAAATATTTGCTAAAACCAAATACATTGAAATGATTTCAAAATTTTAATCCTTTGCTTATGTGTATATCAAGCATACAATGATTAGGTGGTGTTTAAGATTGCATCAGTTTTTTATAAGGCGGGAATTATGTGACGCAAGTTCATCTCTCCAATCTTAGTGTTAAAGTAATAAAATTTAAGTGTGGTTTTGTGTACTTTTACTTCGAAATCTAATTCTATTTCTTCTACTTCTTCTTCTTACTCTATTCCTATTTTTCCATTTTCTTTTACTACTTCCACTTCTGCTGCTATTTCTGCTTCTACTTCTATTGCTATTGCTACTGCTACTGCTACTTCTACTATAATTTTGCTTATAGTTATACTTACGCTTATACTTATGCTTATGCCTATACTTCTATTTCTAGTCCTACTTCTATTTCTATTTCTCTTTCTATGTACACTTTTAATTCTGGTTTTACTCTACTACTACTTTACTGCTATTCTTATTTCTTCTTCTTTGTATTTCTACTTTTATCTCTATTTCTACTTCCGTTTCTATTTCTGTTTCTATTTTTACTTCTACTTCGACTTTCTACTCTCCATTTTTCTTCATATTTCTATTCCTACTTCTATTTCTTCTTTTTCTAAATCTACTTTTTCTTCATCTTCTACTTCTAATTCCGATTCTACTTCCACTGTCACTTCTACTTTCTACTTTCCACTTTTCATTCTTTACTATCTACTCTGTACTTTCTACTTCTATTTCTATTTCTACTTA